GATGAGACTTCGGGACAGATTCGGGAGCGGTCGTGTATAACGTAAGGGGATAAAGAGCAATTGGTATACAATATAGAACAGCATGGCGGCGGGAATAGAGAACCGAGAGAGATAACTAGATTCGTTAGAATGGGATGCAAAGACTGTGCCTTGGGACGGATGCTGCTCACTGCACAACAAACAAAAATAGACGGCGGCGCCATTAGCATCTTCGGCGCGCTCTATATTTTCAATTTATGCCTTACTTCCTGTATAAGCGTTAACTAATAGGGATGGAACGGAAAGTGACATTATCCATATCCATATAATTAATATTACTGCAATATAAAATGCCAATTTTAAAATTAGGAATAGCATTCAACTATGTACATAGCTAATGTATTATTAACGGGGGGAAGGGGATTGTTAGCAATGGGAACTAGTAACTCCTATTGCTAGCAATGTATCATATCCTGGGAATCATCGTGATAAATTCTTGATAAATTTATCATGATTTGTCACGATGGGCTAACTGACCTCATGCTCATCTTATCATCCTCCACTGGTGCCCCGCCAGCGTAAACCGTTAGCGCAGGCGGGTGTATCATTTCATTAACATACATAAAAAAAATGTATTATTAGCTAGTACATAGTACGTAGTACGTACGTACAGTGTTTGTTCACAACGGTGCGAATGGTAATGGAAAAAATCAGACCAAATCTTGCTTATATAGTACAACCACTATGTAATAGAATAAAATGACAATAATCTAATAATTCCGTAAACATTTCAGTATTTTCTGGAAGAATATATTTAGTCCACAATAACATTTTTAATTTTCCATGCGATATTTCAGTCATTTTTTTTTCGTACAACTCTTGTGCTGATAATTACAAAGATAATAATACATAAATATTTAGGAAATAAATGCGCAGTCGTTCTGAAGTGAAGGACTTATCTATATTTCTATACTAATATTATAAAGCTGAAGAGTTTGTCTGTTCGTACGCGCTAATCTCAAGAACTAACGATTCGAATTGAAAAATTCTTTTTGTATTGGATAGTCCATTTCACGAGGAAGGTTTAAGCTATAAAACATTACGCTACGACTAATTGGAGCAGAGCTGCAATGAAAAATATTACAAAAGGTGGGGAAATTAAACTCAGACGAAGTTGCGCAGGTCAGAAGTTTTCGGCCATTCTATTTCATCGAGTTTTTGGTCTCCAAAACTTCTAACAATAAGATGGTTAAGATAGTTGTGTTATAAGGCTTAGTGAAAGTAAGCTGCGATTCCGAGGATTGTTTGAGGAGAAGCATCCTCGCAAACGTGCAAAAACTTATTTTTAATTTCCTTCCGAATTCCTTCCGAAAAAAAATTATGATTTCCTCTCTCTCTCAAATTTGTTAGATGTTACATTATACGCTGAAGATATTTAATTATAATAAATACAATTTGGCCTATGATATTATTAGACAGGTAAGTTTAAAGTCCATGTCACTGTTGATGTTCTTCACGCTACAACCAGATTTTTTTTAATTTATATTTTTTTCAGTATACATATAGGTTTAATTATGACTTGTTCGCAAATTAAACCGGGGAAAATGACAGATTTTTTTACATGTTTGCAAGAGAGCAATTGACCCTCGGATCGGACTTTAACCAGCTTCATAACAGCTATATTAATCATCTTGGAAGTTTTGAATCATTGGATCGATAAATTATGTCTAATTCTTTCCGCACTGTAAACAAAATAGTCCGGTATAGAAGATAAAAATTGGTAAGATATCTGTAAAGTCCGCGTTTGAACTTGTGATAATTTGTTGCTAGCAAGTGTGTGGAACGACAAATAATAATAATAATAATAATAAAACTCTTTATTGTGTACACATAAAATAATGGGAAAATACAGTAAATAGTAAAAAAAAATAACAAAAGGCGGTCTTATCGCTAAATGCAATCTCTTACTGACAACCTAGAAGAGAGGACTTATGTACATAGAATAGGGTAGGTGGCACACATAAGACACTATTTATTATACTACTTGATATACATACTTACATTAGGGATATACATATATACATACATATATACTACATATTGGAAGAAATGAGAAAAAAAAAAATAAAAACATGTACTATGAAGAGAGATAATGAGATCTTAGTCTATTTTTAAATGATGCATGTGTTTGAGCTGATCGAATGGAGAGTGGTAGAGAGTTCCAGAGGCGAATGGCTTGGACAGTGAAGGAGTTGGAATAATATGTGGAGGAGTGAGCAGGGATGAAGAATTATAATTATAATGAAGAATTATTGTGAAATTAGGCATATCCGTAGTAGTTTGAAATATTCTTACATTTTTTCCTGTAATACATAAAGATGTGTTAGGTATTATAATTGATAAAATCATGTATAAATAAATACATGATTTTATAAATTATAATTATTTAATATTTTTTAATCAGAAAGATCGAATCTTTTACATTTAGTTGATTAATTTTAATTTCTATTTGTAGTAGCTAAATATATTCTCAATCTATATCGATGGAATATGACTTTTATATAATACTAGCTATTCCCGCGACTTCGTCCGCGTCTATTTTAAGGACATGTATATGGACAGGTGAACAAACTTGTACCCTTTCTATATGGGTTCCTCTTTTATGGCTGTGAACTTGAAGCTTCACAAAGCTATTTACGGAAAACAGCAACAAGGCAGCGGTTTTGCAACGTTTTCTTGTGATCGTGATTTAGAAAACAGAAAAATACATCTGTAATTTAATTATACATTAGTCAAGGAAAACTTTTAAAGAAACAATTATAGGACTAAAATAACATGCTAAGAACACATAATAGAGAAACTTGTGACCATCGCCACCACTGTGGGTGCTGAATTCATCATGGGGCAAGGAGAGAAAGAGATCCCGAAATTTGTGACACGGGCGAAGGGTTAAAAAAGGAGCGTTTATCTTATATTCGCTGCGCTTATATTACTCGTATCACTCTCCCCAATCAAATCACATTTAATATGAACCTGATTAAGCCGCTTTGGATACTCGTCACTATCTATCATCAGTATGAAGTGTTGCTTGTGGGTGTTAGGATTATGGTATGGTATCCTGATCAGTTATTTATTTTCGATAAAAATCCAGTAGCATATGCTTGTGGTATATACTCCCCAATTTAATTTTAACATGAATCTGTATTCTGTATCTGTGTTATCATGGTCATTTGCAAAGAATAAATGCTGAGTTTTTAGTCAGTCTGTTTTCTTTATTTTGGGTTCATTTCTTTGGTTCATACATAACTGTCAGTTGATACATTTTTTTAATCTATTCATAAGGTGTTAGATAATTATATACCTACTCGGTATATGTATTTGTTTGTTACCTAGATCAAATATAGCATGATAAAATCATGTCATATTTACTATTTAGATGTGGCCCTTAAAAATATATTTATCTTTCGTTTGTGCTTCATTTCAATCCAATTTTGGCTACAACTATGGAGAAACTTACCTCATCACATATGAGCAAAAGTATTCTGTCATGGCGACATCCTCAATCAAGGAGCAACTTACATCCAACTTATAAGTGTTTTGCTTTACATATTGCCTCTCCACAAGTATAAAAACTTTTTTTTGAAGGTTTTCCCCATCTTGTTAAGTAGTTCTGGTCTGTCATTTGGAAGACATTCATATCAAAGTGTAATAAGGCAGGAGACTAATCATATAGCAAGGTAGACACTTTAGACACTCAGAGTTAATGGAATGCAGAAATCACCTACGCTTAACCACACAATGCTAAATTGCATGCATTTATATATAGCAGTCATTTTCTTTGCATTATAGAATGGATTTTACTTAGTCTGTGCCTTCCCTTTTCTTACTGGTTCCCAAACCAGGTCTACTTAGCTGTGCACCTACATAGTTTATGGAATCTTGATTCAAGGTCTGTTGAACTTTTCTCTTTTCATAGTTGTGTAATTAAATTGTCCTGCCACTTTCTTAAGTTGTCAATGTCAATTATTGTTTTTAATTTCAACCCAAAATTATTGTGAACCCTAAATAGAGCTGAGGTGTCAGATGAACCAGCCATACCATGTTATTATATTCTATTATCTGTATGTCTATATATTCTATTATCTGTATGTCTGTACCCATATAAGTGTAGTGTGAAAATATCAGTTTTTGTATTATAGTTTCAGACATATCATTCTGTGGGTTTGATAGCACTCAACAACATAGAAAAAATTACTAGTAACTTAGACAATCAAGTGACCAGCATCACTGCACTGAATTTATACTATGGTTAAAATTATTTCACTACTGTTTTGTTTAGATTAAGTTATTTTTCTTCTTCATTTTGAAAGACGCCACCAATTAGTTAAATTACCAATAGATAAAATAAAGTGTGTATATTGGTTATGTACTTCACTACATACACAGCAATTTTAGTATGGGCTTGCATTAGCTCTGCTTAGCTTGGGGACCAGATTGTGAATTGTCCTCAGATATTTTTGTTATTAATACCTTTCATTAAGCTATCTGAGTTGACAGATGCATTTAATAAATTATAATTATATACCTACTGTAAAATGGAATAAATGTGTAATGCTATTAAATAATAAAAAAATAAAAGACTATATTTCCCAGCTCTATATGTGTAAATCCCATGTACCAACATTTCTTAAAGTTTTACACACATCCATAACAAATTAATAATAGTTTGCAAGGACCGACTCAAAACATAACAGCTATTATTATACATAATATACACATACATACAGCAGTTATCATTAAATGTTGAACTCACGGACAACAGCTTAGACTATCTTAAAATATAGAATTAGAATTCTAGATCTGCTTTTTCGATTATAAAGATATAAAATTATTCTTTATAATCGAAAAAGCAGATCTAAATTATTTTTTAAATAAATATTTTTTATATTTTAAAGGGTGGTTATTTAAAATAACTACTCAAAGTACTCTATATATATAATTTAAAATTTTTAAATACTCACACACACACAGCATCTGCCATCAACTCGGACATGTTTTGAAGTAGTACAGAAACACAGAATCAAATCGATATTTGGAGAATATGTAAAACAACAAATAAAAATATAATATTTAGCTTTGTAGATGACATAAATTCAAAATTTTAATAAGAGAATTCAAGTAACGGATAAAACCACAAAAGCACCATAAAATGCCATAAACTAACTAGATTCAAGAATAACTGTCGTGGTGTTGCCAACCTTAATAACTGAACAATGTGTACTAATATTATACATAAAATATTTCCAAGAATTTGAAGTTCTAAAAATATTTTGATAATATGACCCAACTTATGAAAAAAAATAGTATATTGTATCCAGATTTTTTCATTGACATATATTTCACTAAAAAAGGCTAACTTCCTTTTTTATATAACAAATGATTTTCGTTTGTCATATTTCATAAAAATATACCTATTTAAAATATTTAGATACTCTAAAGATATGTACGAAAATCATATAAATGTATTTTTGTGATATTCAATTCAAAGCATTACTTTGTAAGCACTACTTTACTACAACTGGTAATACTATTTGAAAATATGACATTTACTGCTGTCAATTTGGTCTACGAAAAGAATAAAAATCAATGATCTGTCTATTTTAAAAAATATCCATAATAAAAAAAAGTCTGTCTGGTCTCTGGTAAAAATAATATATCTATAGATACTTATTTAAAACTCATCTATTAGTTTTATTTTTTAAATATATCAAATTAAAATTAATACAATTTAACCAACAGACAATAAACACCAAAGAAATTTTTCTCGTTGTACGTACTTTTATCTTTCTAAAAGGTAACCTATTTGTTTTTTCACATAATTTGAATGAAGTCATTTAGTTCATATTAGGTTCAGTTTATTAATATTAAATCTTGTCTAAATCTTTGTACCATGTCTACAATGGCAGTCTATAGTAACATACGCTCATTAGTACAAAGAATTGTTATGTTAGATGTCAGAACGAGTGTGCGATTTTTCACTGATCAAATTGATAATCCTAATGAAGAACAACCTGTAGATCCAACAAAAGATAGGACCAAGACTATCCCATTAGAAACAAGTATGAGATATTTAAAAAGTAATGCGTACAAACAAACTTACGGAGACAGCCCAGTTTGGACGTTATATCGACGAAACCATAAAGGCGTATTTGCACCGAGGAAGACCAGACGGTCATGTGTCAGAAACGGTGTGATATCTACAGGAAACCCTTGTCCTATTTGTAGGGATGAATACTTAGTGCTGGATCATAGGAATACAAAACTATTGGAGCAGTTTATATCTGAATACACTGGCCAGGTACTATTAGTTTATTTACTTGTGTGTCTGAAGATTAGAATTATATTTAAACCAAGTAGCATGATACAGTTGATATTTTAGCGCTGTTAGTGGATAATGAACTGTTTTAGTAAATATTCTGTACTCCACATCATACTTACAGGACAAAGTCACAATGCCAGGTTGTGCTGAGCATAAATATTAATTATAATGTTTTATTATTTATACTATTTGGTATTATATTTTCAGGAAAAAGATTAAAAATGTAATAATTATTTAAAGGCAACATGTAAGTTTCTTACAATTTTGTTTGTGAGGCTGCATTCTATTTGAGGAGTAGTAAATAAAAAATTGCTTATCTTATGTTTATTTATGTAATAAGACTGTTGGCCGCTTATAAATGTCTGGATGGAGTAATTAGTAAATTTACTTTAGAAAAGTCAATATAAATAATCACTGTTTGTCATTGTAACTTTATATAGAATTTAAGATGTAGTAGAACATATAATATGTTCATATATTTAAATATTTGAAATCTGGTCTATTTATTTTACCTAATTATACTTGATAATCAATATGACAAATACAGAGGCATATAATGAGGTGGCAGACCTTAGGATGTTTATGATTATTTATGAGATACATAAATAGCCTAATTTATATTTTCTCACACACACATGTCAGCTCATTTCATCCCATTATGACAAAATCGCTAGGAATTTATTATGATCCATGGTGCTTCTGGATGGAGCAATGGAATTATTAGTTGAAATGACTAACAATCTATATTTAGCATATATCCATAACAATGTGTTATAGCAATAACATAATAAATAGTTTAAATATTTTTTTATTTATAGATACTGGATGCCTACAAAACTGGTCTTTGTCAAAAGAAGCATAAAGAATTACTTGTAGCTATTGAAAGGGCATGGGACCAAGGACTCCTTACATATGATGTTCCATTCAGGAAATATGATTATTCTTTGTACAATAAAACAGCAAATAGTTAGTAATATAAAATATAATTATTGTAGTTGAATAAAATATACTTTCCAAAAGTTGTTACTTCTTTCATTGCACAATGTTTATTAATTATCATTAGGAAGCCTAATTTTTTATGGCACACAAAGTTGAACATTATTATATACACTTTAAGACTAGTATATCACTATAAGTCACTATTTTAATTTACATATTTAGGATGAGAGGAGATGTGTTTTGCACCTAACTCCTAAATTACTGGATTGAGTTGCATAAAATTTTGTGTGTATATTTCAATGATATCCTGATTGGTTTGAAAACAAAATTGCACATGGTAGGCATTGCTTTCCAGGCACTACCAGGTCCTCTAGTAGGTTATAATAATACTAGATTTCTAAAGTCTGGTCTTGCAGTATACCAAGCTCACATTATGTGAAAGTGTCCATTAATTTTGTTCTATTTCTTTGAACTAACAATTCCCTGATGAGTGCTGATTTTTCTCTTTCTAGAACTGATATTCTTTCGTTTTTTCGATTTACCTCCTGAAACAAAATTTATTATTGGAAACTCGTTATAATATTTTTACATCAATTTAACAAGGAAATGTTGCAATTAATTAATGATCTGTCTGGAATAATTCAATTTCAATACAATCGTATGAACACACCCAGTACAGGTAATAGATAGCTGTTTTCGTTTATGCCCGCCTTCGCCAAGTTATTTATTAATTATTATACATATAGTATGTATAGATATGAGCTATAATAAATAACAAGGCGAGGGCAGATGTCCTCCAAATTGATGGAAAATATTTACTTAATGCTTAATTATGTTATATAAAAGCCTCCTGTGTATAAATTTCAAATATTTAGAATGCCTCTGCCCTGGGTTTACATGTGGGATGCCTATAATTTTATTTCACTCTATCTCCAGTTAGTAAAATAACAGTTATAGTTTGTAAATGTCCTGTTATTTATATTTTATATTTCATACAAATATGTCCAAAAAGCATACATGTCGTCTGATCGTAAATGGGTTCCGTAGTAGATGTCTGCCCAGCCCCACACTGAAGGTGAACATGGAGAGACTTTGTAATAACTAAAAAAATTTACTACACATAGTAATAAAACGAATAAATAAATTTAACTATACTCTTTATGTCTAGCACACATACAACAGCGATAGTTAGTTCAATTTCAATCAAAAACGAATCAAGAAATGAAAATAGAATGATAGCGTCCTGTCTAAAGTGATAGCGTCGTTTATTTTCTATTTATACAAGGTCAGACGATATATACATATGGCTTATTGCGACCGTCTAGTGTACGTAAATAGTTTATTTATGGTAAATAACTATCATGCAATTACAATTCTATTCTATTAAATTTGTATTATGTAAGAGATGTGAATTAGAGATGTTTAAGCCGAAATCAGTATTACTGGTTTAGTACAGCAACTCATAATGTACCTCAGCTACCTCCGATGGTCGCAGATTCTATTCTAGAATATTATACAAGTACAAACATTTGTATTAATGAATAATGTAATTATTAGTATTGATCCTGAACAAAAAATATTTCTATCAGTTATTTAGTACCCATAGTAGGTACTGCTTAGTGGGAGTAGATGGCGCTGTATGAATTATCCTGAATCACAATATTTATTATTTTGTGTGACAGACCTCAGCTAGCATACGATTTTGTGACTGCAATACAGAAGCATTAGGGGCAGTAGATGTTGACACCTGTGACACCGGTAAGGCCAAGTTCATATGTAGAATATGTCCATTTCTCCATCCAGCCGCCAAAGTTCCAAGTTGACGATTGAGCTCTAACACACGAGCTCGCAATAATTCTAAACGTTCCTGGTGGGCTTCACTCCAAGGCTCCTATACAGAGAATTTGTACATATAACACCTATATATGTAAATAAATAAATAAATAAATATATATATTTAACATTTTTAACATATAATATATATATTTTTGTTTTGTACTGCTTAACTGTAGAATAAAGTCTACACTTCAAGAAAGTTCCTTAAATTCTTTGGAGAAATTAATCATTCTTATAATTATGTTCAATATATATTTTTGTTCTTATTTATTTTTACGATATAATTATAAATCATTAAAATTCTTTTTATATTTCTAATAATATCCATGGATAGTATGTAGGTATACACTTTAGAAATAAATTTTAGAAAATATCAAGATATTCAGAAAATCTTGTAAATAACTTACCTACGGCATAAGAAATCTATTTACGTGCTAAAAATAAGAAGCTGGAACACGGACATAATAATAGCGAGTAACAACTGCTTATCTATTATAGGCACAGACAAGTATTTTTAATACTTATGTTCACTTTACATTTGTATTTTTATGACTATGTACGGATATTTAATGAGTAGATATGTAGTATTCATTTCATTAAATTTCCGAACATAACAAGTTATACATTATAAACATACTCATTCGGTGTTGTTTTTCTATAAATCTAATCGTTTACACTATGATAAATACGAAACGTCGCAGTGTCGCAAACTGAGTACCTCATAAGTAATCACCCTTTCAGTGCACTCAACCACCTAATCCAAACTGGCGATATGTAATTTAAAAAAAGTTTTGACTTACCACATAAACGCCCATCCTTCCTGCATATCGCATTTTTTCTTGAACTTCTCCTAATTGTTTTAGGTACCATTCCCGTGCTTCCTCTACAGCTGTTAAACCTTGTAACAGAACATCCTTTTCTTGTTCTATTTGTTTCATTCTCTTCAAAAGATTATAGTCAACTCCATTATGTAAAGTATGCCGCCGAGGCTCACGTCGACGAGATGTACGACGAACAGTTTGTGACTGTGTTTCATTCGCTGACCGTCCATCTCCAAGACCTCTACTCTGTTCTTCTAAAACTCGAGTTATGTCTTCAAAATTAAGTTTTGTGTCACTTATCTCTTCGTTATCAAAGACCGTTTCTTCGGATTTATAATTAGGTCTAGAACTTTCTTGCCTTTCTAAAGATTTTTTTTCTAATCTTGGAGGTTTGGGTGGTCCGTAAGGTCTAGATTGCTCGTGTTTAGGTATATTAATAATTGAGGTGTGATGTAGTGATTCCTCTGTTGCTAAATCTGTTCGTTCTATTAGTTGTGGCATACTGATAGTTCGTTGTTGCGCCGAATTTTCAGACTTCATAACATTCCAGTTTCTATCTCTGTTTTGAACATCGTTTACATCCAGTAAAGGCGCTGAAGGTGGTCGGTGTGCTTGTGCATGGATAGTCGTAGTTTCTACGTTGTCATTTATTCGGTCCGTAGTATTTGAGACATTTTCAACTTGGTTACGAAGAAGGCATATTTTTAGACCTGTACAGAATCGTTCAAAAGTTAGTAAACCATCGTGGGAGGCGACCTTTTGAAGGCTTTCTATGACGCCACGGGGTAAACCTTTGGTTCGGTCGTCACGCCAACGGTTTTCTATATCTGTAAGTTTTACATACCCAGTATGTTTGTCATCCATAATATTGAATAATGTTCTCATTGCGGATATAAACTGCTTGGGTAAAGAATCTACATTCCTTGGGTTTACTTGGGTCATATTGATTGTGCAATTTTCCTGAATGCGTTAGGTACAACCTACACAACATAATAAACACTACGATTGGACACCCATCAATGACTAGGTTTAGATAGTATATTCAAGGTTGTAAATTTTTAGTTAGGTCAGTCACTTATTATAATAATCGTATTGTAAATTATACAACCATTGTTGAATTGTCTGTTACTATATGAACCTTTATATTATACACAACACACCAACACCAACGGTCGTTTTGTTAACTGACCACAATCCACTATCACAGTATGTGTATGTATACGAATAAAAATGTGACCGTTTGTTGAACGGTACGTATGGTGTGATGGCAGTAGGCGAGCCGACCCGCCGGGTGGGAGTGAATTTGCAAGTATAGCGCATACGAGTGCGAGCAAGAGAACCGGTCAAACAACATTTCAGGCTCTGAGCAGGTAGAAGTGGCCGTCTAGCCGCAGATCACCATATCAGCGGCCTCTAATTTTTATTGTTTTTACATACTAAATTAATTTATATTTTCAACTAATGTTAAGAAGGAGACTTTTAAGTCAACTAATTATATTTATATGACCATATATGATATGCAATATATGAAGGTAAGCACTGGTTCATATACATACAAGTATATACATTCCAAAACTGCTTTTCATATTTTCTGCAACCGCAAAATTTAGATACGACTTAGGTGAAACTTGTAAAGAAAAACACCTTAAAATCAAAGAGTATTGTAGTAATTAGTTTACTGAATATTAAGATTTTTAAAATTAATTATACTTAGTTGAAACTTATACTAGCTGTAACTTTAATCTCTGATAATGTTCATTTCTTTAGAACAAAGTATTTTTTAAACCAATACATTTGTAAGTACATTTTTATGTTTATCATAAACGTAAAAAATAATAAATCTTACTTCTTTATTTGCCCCATTACTGGTGATGTAGCCACCTACAAGTAAGTATGCCGTCTACCCTGGAACAGTCCCCTCTGGAAACCATCATTATAAATTCATGGTGATACAATAATGATGATGGGCTACCTAACGTGAACTCATACTCATCTTACCTGGGGGGAAGGGGATTGTTAGTAATGTGGATTGATAACCCCATTGCTAGCAATGTATCATGTCAGGTCGACCTCCACGCGGTTCCCCCTGGAAACCATCGTGATAAATTCCTGGTGAATTTGTCACGATGGGCTAACTGACCTGACCTCATGCTCATCTTATCATCCTCCACTGGTGCCCCGCCAGCGTAAACCGTTAGCGCAGGCGAGTGCACCATTCCATTATCATCCCCAAAAAAAAAAAAAAAAACTCATCTTACCTTCTCTCCACACCTCTCCCCCAGCGTAAACCGTTAACGCAGCGAGAGATCTGTTCCATCATTAACTATTTAAAAAACAGTCTAAAAAATCTCTACTATGCTTTTAAATTTTACTACATTTTTTTAAACTAATGAAGTGGTAGTTATACTATTACCTCTGACTATGCATATTGTAGTTTCAAATACTTTTCATACCAATATTATTATATGCAATAATTATAAAATATAAATAAATATATATATATATACATACCTACTATATTTTTTATGTGTATAATGCGGCATCCGATACTATCATACCTACCTATATATGAGTAGGTATATTAGCTGTTGCCCGCAACTTCTGTTTTTATTGAGGTATAGTAATTTCATCAGGCTACATACACCATATATACCTACATACTACCTTCTTTCATGTCTTTAACTAGTATATGTTCAGGTGTGAAAATAAAACAAATAGAAAAAGATGGAGAAGGGCTTTTTAGCGGCTGATAATGATATGGTGTGTAAACCTACACTAACGGTACAGGCTGGCTGGGCACTAGTTGAAGATGATAGAATGAGCATAAAGTCAGTCAGACTCGCCGAACATGATTCACCACGAGGTTAATGGTATCTAGGAGAGCTACATGGGATTTGTTAGTAATGGTAACTAGTCTCTTTCAAAACCATAGATTGCAGTAACTGAGGATTTTCATTGATTCAATGTATTCCGTTAGTTTCATTAAAATGAATTAAAAAACAGTCAGACCCATTACTATATAATATACTACGTAATATTGACATAATTGATATTATTTTTAAATTTATTATCCGCTTCGATTGCAGTCAAACATAGTTTCTTACAAAAAAGTAGATAGGTTTATCAGACAATAATAAATCTAATAATAAAAACCCAGGACAAGTCACACAGTTCCATCTAGTCCCAAACTAAACTGTGTTTGGTTAAACAGAGCGTGTGTAGACAACATATAGAAATACTTAAATATATTTTTTAAAGCAAGTATGGCTGTATACGTACATAAATATATTGTATAGGCAGCACGCAAGCGAGGCTGCGCGCGCAACTTAAATATGTCACTTTCTTGTCTCATATAAAATTAAATTAGATAAACGTTTGCTTTATAATTTTAGTTAAATATACATAAATACAATTCAGATAAAGCCCATAACTGGTGACCCCGCTCTTGGACAGAACCGTAAGGATATATAATTCATATTTTTAAAGAACAAAATTACATATAAAACACAATTTTACTGATATATATGAACATCATGTCTTTGGAAAAACACTAGCTACCGAACCATCTACTCACTCCGGTGATAACTGCTCAACCCACAGCGTCACTGAAGATACTTTCAGACCTGGCAGACCGCATCCAGGATATCGCTCCAGCCACACCGCAACTATCAGCCGCTTCAGTTCCAGGATCATCGCAAGATACCATGGCTAACGAGATAATATAATAATCCAGATAAAGCCCAAAGTACAAAATCTTCATTCACCTACAAACACCGAAACCGATAGAAATGTTGAATACAAATGTGGGAGTCGAACCCACGACTATCAAAGTGTTGGCTAAACCGCTAGACCACCGAGGTCCTTAGAATAGATACTGACGTCTTGTGGTACCGGTGAATGCCGGTGATGATATTTGAGTTGAGGAGGAAATTCTTATATCTTTTGTGAGTGATATATTCTCAATAAATCAAAGTTTATATCGAATTTATGAATTTATTCATGAATTTTTATATCGATTATGACTAATGATGCCTGTTTGGAAGAATCTTCCCAACTATGGAGGAAAATTAAACAGAAGTAACAGAACTCTCCCAAGTATTGTTACCTAAATTATTCATGATGGTATACTTGTCAAACAAAATTGTTTATTGCAATTTTAAATATATACGCTACGCGGGTGATGAATTTTTAAATATTCATCATTAAATATAATAACACGCAATGTTTTGGCGCAGCGAAGAGCATATAATATCGCAAGACAATTCACACAGCGTCATATAGTCCCAAACCAAGTAGAGCTTGTTACGGGTACTAGACAACTGATATGAAGGCGTGATACATTAGTATCACGCCTTTATATATACGCCATACAGTAAATATATACAAAATACACAGAAAATACGCAGGTCGATTGAAACAATCATACTCATGAATACAAACGTTCGTACCGTGCGAAGTGTCAACTCGGGACCATTGGGAGTTAGGCGGTGTGTATAACTGCTACACTAACGTGGCCATCAAATATATGAAATAATATATCGGCGAATCGAAACATTTATACATTGATTGCAGTAGTAACTAACACAATTCTTATTAGGGAAATATTTTTTCAAAACGTGCAAATGTATTAATTCTTTAACTGCCTAAAATTAGTTGAGTTTAGTGAAAAATTTAAAGAGAAAGCAAGATGTAATCTGTTAAAAATAATTATATTGTCTACTGGCTGCACGGAGGACACGGGCAGATATAGAATTTGAGACCAAAAATGTAAACAAAGAGACCATACAGAAATAATAAATTATTGTAGGCACATTAACAGAACTTTTTAAAAATTGTACAAGGATTATATATATATATATATATATATATATATATATATATATATATATATATTAAACGAATAAAATAGCATCAGATATATTTTTTAAATGATTAGAAATACATAAAAGTCATCAAAGAATTACTGATAATATTTTATAATAAAATGTTGGATACTGATAATTACCTTCATAAGCATAAAAAATGTAGGTACAGGTACTTGTGGAATATTTATTGTATAGTATCTATTTCTATTTAATACAGTTAAAGTAAAACTGATTATTATTTTAGAATATTTCAGCGCCATAATAAAAAGTTTTGTAAGATACATGTCAATTACACAATTATGATTTTTGGAAAATTATGTTCTTTTTCTAGTGGTTGACACTCATTATGCCTGATGTTCACTATGATGATAACGTGATGTTCCTAGAGTTGTTTGTGTGTATGTTGTAGACAACAGTTACCGCTTACCATCATCAGGGGGCCGTCAGCCGTTTGTCATTCCAATTACATAAAAAATACCACAATACACACATTTTTTAATCTTTTGTAATTGTTTAAGAACTATTTGGGGCATATTTTTTCCAAAAATTGGCAACACTGCTTTGATCAGCCAAGTCAATCCAGCCAGAGCTGTCTGTTAGTTAGGTCCATTCTACTATTTCCTACTCATTCGTACAGATAGACCAGTATTAATGTCATGAATCGTTTTGATGACTTTTAAATAAGTTTTGATAGTAGTAAACAGTCTAAATTATTTTTATTATTTTTGTACAATGAGTGATGTCGAATTAAATAATAAACATCTAGAAATCAATCCTTCAAATGGTGGTGCTAATCAAGACTCGTCAAGAAAAGAATGGGTTAAGTTTGATGACGATAGTGGACAAACAAACCTAAATATCCCTTTAGAAACCAAGGTAATTACTGGAGTGGCAGCTACTTCAGTGGCAAGTACATCAGAGTTCTCACCTCTACCAGCCAGAACAGAACCAGCAGCCGTATTAAAAACTGAGACGGTGCATGTAAATCTCGAACGCGGAGATCGAAATACGGACCCTGTGACTCACAGTACTCTAAACAAGAATGTAGAATTTGTCAACGTACGTCAAGGATTTTGTGAGTACTTCATAATTACTTGGATAAAAATAGTGTTGCTGTATTAAAATGGGCTTGTTTGCTTTATCAATTACAAGATTTAATAGTATATATTCAAATATGGATTTTAGAAGATTGCTAATATTTGTTATAATATATTATGTTTTTAATAATTTCAGCAAATGGTGAAATAATAGTGACATTATTGCCTGTTAACACCAAATGGCCATGGGTAACTGCAGCACATTTTCGACCAGAACTAGTGCCAGAAGAGCTAATGGCACAAGGACTTACTGTAAGTTTTCCAAATGTAGGAACCCAATATATAATCTATATATATATAACTCAAAGGTGACTGACATAGTGATCTATCAAGGCACATCCCAAACCACTAGACGTATTGGGCTGAAATTTGGCATGCAGGTAGATGTTATGATCTAGGCATCCGCTAAGATATTTAATTAAGGATTTTGATTAATTCTACCCCCAAGGGGATGAAAGTTTGTATGAAACTTTGTCAATTTTAAACCGATCGAGCTGAGACTTTGCATGCATAAATCTACTATGACGTAGGCATCCCCTAAGAAAGGATTTTGATAAATTCCACCCCTAAGGGGATAAATTAACGCGAGTGAAGCCACGGGCAAAAGCTAGTTTAATATAATTTTCAATAATATAGTAGTAGTATGTTATAGATTAGGAAACTGTCTACAATCTACTTCATAAATCTTGGTTTATCTTTTGAGAACAGTATTACTTACAAAATTTAAGGTAAAAATAAAAAACATGGAAAGTATTTCTTGTCTTTTTTATAGTATAATTTGTTATAATAATAAAACTTCAATGTTTGTTACAGCTCACTGTTGAAGAATATGTTCATGCAATGGAACTACTTGTAAATGATGCACGTTTTACACTCTACAATATTTGTTACAAGAGAGTTCTAGTATGTTGGATAAGCCTTGCATTTCTTGTATTACTAGCTCTATTGTTTTCTGGTTTAACAGGACTCTTTTTGTTCTCACTTGGAATCCTATGGCTTATACTCAATGCTGCTGCAATCTTTTTATGTATGTGGATAAAATTAAAACTATCAAAAGGACTCGAACAGTGCTTGGCAAGTGTGAATAAATTGCTCAATAAACACAAATTGGTATTGGCTTTAGATGACAGAGGGAAGATATCATGTCATAAAGTCAACTTATGTTTTATATATTTTGATTCGGGACCTTGCATTTCCCACATACAGCAGTTCATTGACAGTGAAGAAGGAAAATCTATAATGCAAGGTTGGGAACAAAGACTAGATGTATCAACCAATGACATTGTAATTCAAGGAAGTCAATCAACTAGGCTATCACGAAAACAGGTATGATATATTTTATGACACATTTTGTGTTCCAGTATAATGTTATTAAATAAATGGATATACATCTTTATAAGCTATCTATACATTATAATTTTGGACTAGCAGAGCAGCAGATATTATTTTTTAAAAAGCAATTGTTGTTGATTTGGGGGTACACTAAACTGTATGAACTCTTATTAGTTCATCATAATGTTTAAAAATCTATTTGTTAAAAAGCCATATCCTTAACATTCTTGTGCTAGCATATTCTCGTATTCTAAGTACTCATTCTTGTTATGGGTTACATGTAAAAATTACTACTATTACTAATTCTAATATGCTTTGTGTCATGGTATAATGATATGGTGACGGGATTAATGGACAAGGTAAATATATCTTTATCATGTTTATCTTATACCTTCCATATACTAACAAATTTCTAATTACTAATTATTTTCCAGACCCATATTTAGTAAACATAAAAACTGAATAAATTATTATTGTGTTATCATTAAAATGTAATGAAAATCTGTGTACATACTTTTTCTTCAACAAACCATGTATAATTGAGCATCATTAATACTATATTGCTATTTGGCTTGTTTTTTTTTTATGTAACTGAAATGGAATACAAGCTGATGACCAACCTGGTGGTAAGTGGTCATATAAATATATATAAATGACCAGCACTATAATATCAGTGTATATATGTGGGTCTTATGATGACACTCAAACTTTGCCATTCCAGAGGACAGATATTTTGCCTCATATCATGTCATGTCACTTCCTTTTCTCACATATTTATTAATTTTAATGTTTATTTCAATATTATATAAGAAAAATCCCAGCTAATACAGCCCATTGACACTTGCTGATAACATACAATTTAAAAAAAAACTAAAGTATTTAGAATTTTATCTATTGGAACCAAAGAAACAGGTACATAAAATCATATCTGTACTAATTTTGTTATATTCTTTATAATATTTTTAGTCTAATGAAAAAATTACATTAAATACAGTTTTATATACATACTGATATGACCTATATTAACAATAACACTAACTGTGCCCGTAGATGCCCTCTTATCAAATATACAACATAGCCACTTAACCTGAAAATCCATGCTAAAAGTGGTGAAAGAACATTTTTAATTGCATAAGTAGTTTAAGAAAGTATATCCTAAATTCAATATACTTTTTCATGATATTAATTGAATAGGGATTGCTTGAAACTCCTTTAACTCATAGCACACTGATGATTTAACATTTCTGGTGATTATTGTATGCTTCTAAATTTAAATAATTTATTATTAATAAGATTTAAAGGAAATGTGCCATGGAAATTGATTAAATGTTTAATTATTGTGTTCTTAATTTATCACATTATTAATTTGATATAGATAATAAACAATTCATAAAAATATATTTTTTTAAAGAAGCTCCTGCAAGCTAATTAGTATATTAATATTATTCAATTTAGAACAAAGATAACACCTTTAAATAACATTACCTCATTTCTTTTACTTTTTATATTGTAGTTTGCAATTCTGGTAATATGGGTCATGCATGTCATCTATCTGTCGAATAATATGATGTTGTAATGGTCTATAGGGCATTGGTAGCTATAATGGGTAAGCAAAAGGCATATGAATGTGCAGGGTATGGCAGAGCAAGTGTACCTCCGGTATCTGCAGCGGTGGGGCAAAGACTTCCTACGACGCCGTCTCGACTGGACTTTAGACGAGGATGGCGGTAACCCCGCAGCGCCACGTCATTTGCCACAAGCGCTCTGCGCTTGTCAGTATGTTGAAGAAATTTTGCGGAACAAAGAACCGAGAGATACACGTGCTTGTTGTCCACTCTGCAACGATTGGTTAAGACGCCGTGGTCTCGATTGAACAAACTGCTTAACGTTTGGCAAGTTTGACATTTTTGTTATATGGACAAATAAATCCTATTTGCTGCACTTTAAATTTAGATAATTGATGGTGATTATTTTTTCAGGAGAGAGGTGCACTTCTATATTTGCGGTATGTAAGTCGGTGGGGGAAATATGCTTTAAAAAACAGACTGAATCTTAGTGTTACAGCACCTGGGCGTCATGGAGAGAAGTATGTCTGCCCTTGTCAATTTATAGAAGAGCACCTGCAAACTAAACCACCTGCGGGTATTTCAAAATTTTTTACATTACCCAATCAAAATATGCAATTGTATTAATGCCTTTCATTGAGTTGAGGATATTCTATTTCAAGTCCGTCCATTTTGTATTGTATACTTTCCTTATATTTATATATATATATATATATATATATATAGTATTAACTAGTTAACGATGGTTATATGTATGGCTATATTGACGTATTAATTGGGTATAAGTACTCTAATATGTTACTGTAATTATACTTTCTATTTTATTTTATATAATAAATAGTATTAAAATATAGAATGCACATTCTAACAATTATTACTGTAATTATACTTTCTATTTTATTTTATAATAGAGTTATAAACACATCTCTGTACCCCGTTCAATGCACTAAACTATGTTTCCATTTATTGTATAATTTTTCTAATGCTATCAATGCTAATCAATTTATGTGAAATATGGCCATACAGCTTCGATCAGCAATACAACTAGATGGGAACTCAAAGCATCAAATACGCCATAGTGATTAATGAATTACCAGTGGGTGTATATTATTAGTGTTCAACTAGTTTAGATGCAATTTCCGGCCGATATTATTACAAATATAGACGATGTCTACATTAGATGTAGAGTTGTAATGGCTTAAAACCAATTACGTAGATAGATCTATAATGAACAAGATTTCATTGTCAATAAAGAACCATTAATTAAACAATACAAAAAAAAGTTAGTTTCGGTCGGCAAATAAATAGAACTTTGCTGTATCATTTGCAATTAAGATTTTTTGTAACATAGAAAGTATTGCCGTTCTAAATCTTCTTGTTTTGTATAATTAGGTCGTATTGTTTTAATATTATTGGACGATGCCATATTTAAGTATTAATTTTGTTTATGAGGCGTTATCTAGCCAGTGTTGCTGATTGAATCTATAGGAATATAATCTTCTACAGCAATAATTAATTATTATAGTTGTACTTATGTTATTAATCACTTTAAACTATATTTAATCTTCTAAGTTCATATAACTACTTTAATAAGAGTAATAATATATTAAAATTATTATATACACGCATGGTTAAGCACTCGTTGCCAAAACAAGCAATATCATTAGTTAATACTTCTATGTATAGACACTTATGTGAATAATATTTAATATAAGGTATATTCATGTACACATATAATAAAATGTAATGTAAATGAGTCTTTACCTTACATATTTAAAAAATGTACACGTACTTATATAACTTAGGAAAAATAGTTTCAAAAGTGTTATCTATTTGTCAGTGCATTTGTGCACGATAATCTTAAACATGGCATGGTTTTCATTGAAGCATTGCAAACTGTAACATTTAAGACTTATTTTATTAAAATCTGTTTACAAACAAAAACAAAATTGAATAAATAAGCAAATTCTAGAAACAACACGTGTAGTTTCGGGTACAACTATATGATGCACGATGTAACTAAACCACTTTAACTGCCTATTGATTACTATTGTATTTAATATAAAAAACTGCCCTAATTCCGTCGTAAACTTTTCAAATGTTGTGATCTTGTTATTGTATTGGTTACATAGATTATGATTTGTTTATATACATTTTAATATCATATTTTTTAATTTCTTTTATTATAATAATGCACTCTGGGAAGGCGTGACACCTAAGATACAGTATAATTCTATACTAGTGCAGGTGTCTCAAGTATGCCCAAATGTTTGAAGAATGTATTTTCACAGTTATAATCCCTTAACAATGTAACACAACCTAAGGTTGAAATAAATTTTAATTTGATGTAAAGAACAGTATGTAATATGCCTGACCAAATACAAAAAATATGTTCTCTGTCCATCAAGGTAAACTCGTGATGTTAAAAAAATATGATATCATTATTAAAAATTATTCAACATCAATTGTCAGGTATATAGCAGGACATATCTTGAATAGTTTTAAAGTATTTAGTGCAAATTAACCACATTGTACCAAATGATTGCGACGTTGCATTTGGAGTTGATATAAAATCGTAAAGCGAAAGTAAAATAAGCGAAAAAAGACGTAATTATATATATGTTTACATATTTTAACGCCCTTCTTAATGTTTAATATATTAATTCTATTTACACGCTTTATTACTCCAGATAAAAAAAAATTATCAATTTCATTAATTTTATGATTTTCATAAAAGATTATGTAATACCTGTAAATACGTAATAATATGCAATAGCTGGTATACAGAAATTTATAAGATTTTAATGAAATGGAAATGATACTTGCATGCAGTGATTTCGTGTACATAATTATGTAGGGTATAGTTGTCATTCGATTAGGTATAATTTCATCTACAGTACGTTCCATGAATGGTTGTGGATAACTTACATGTACGGAATTTCTAATGTACATTACCTATTCCAATTCTTAAATCACACTATTAGATAACTAGTCAGAAAGAAATATTTGGTTATAAATATTTATTATTCATATTATAAATCTTTATATTTTTTATTATTTTTAAATATTTTAATGATAAACCAAAGGTCATAAATTATATAAATTTTAACAGAATATAATAATAATATAAAAAGGAGATTCCGTGTTTTAGTAATTATTTTTTTGTCAGCTGGTAATATTACATTATATGAATTCTATTACGATTTAAACAAATTGTCTTCTTAAATTATAGTAAACCATTAGAGAATTGCAGTTTAAGATTCACAATTTATAAATAAATGATGTATATAATTTATTTACCGAAAGAAGTCTAAAATATATATATATATATATATATATATATAGTATACTAGCTGTTTTATAATTTTTCAGAAAAAAACTGATGTGAGACTAACTTAAACTACAATTGCAAAATAATGATAATAAATCATCCAGTTTTGGCAAAGATATAACATAACATAGATGTCTCAAATTGAGAATCTCCTTCTGTTGGTAGAAGCTTGTATAAGTAATTAGTTTATGAAATGTAATTAGTATGTAAAGGAAATAATTTATAAAACAAAAAAAAACTATTCATCTTCTTTATTGAAAATATTAAATACATATTTTCGATATGATTTTTTAATTAGTACATAATATACGTACTATATAAGTATATTGGACTGACAGGTAATAAAAATTACAATTTATGAGACCATTTGTAACACTTGACACGATGTAGCTATTTATTTTGCGCGTCTGCGACATATCAGGGTAACTATACTTTACGCGTTCGAGCATGGTGCGGATCAAATATATACATGGATACAAAGTATACGCAGATAATTAAAATATATATATATATATATATATATGTAAAATGAAATACTAATTCTAATATTGTATTTTAAGTTTAAAAATTTGAATAAATACAATTATACCAGAGAGTGCCAAAATATCAGCTTTCACCGCATTACGTTATAGCGCGCTGAGTATAATTATTAATTTATTACTATAATAATTCACCTGTACAACAAAATTAAACATACCTAGGTAATGTAAAGTAAAATAAAACTGATAGAAATTCCAGTATTGTGATTATATAAAATACATTCCGTCCCTAAGTAATCAATTGTGTACTTAATAGTTCTGTAAGTAATATTTAATGTCTTACATTCTTTCTATTATGTAAGTTTTGTTGAATATACATATTATACTTATATTTTAATTTGTAATTTATTATTTAATGTTTTACAGGACACTTCCCCACTTATAGTTATAAAACAGATATTGTTATACTCCATTCGTTTTACAAAGTGCAGTTTTAAGCAAATTCAGAGCCGAAGTGCAGGTGTGAAAAAAAAAATAAAGTGTGCTTAACGGTGCAATGTCTTTGACATTGATTGTGGTTAGAGATAATGAAACCTTATTACTAGCACTCCCCCTAGGAACCCGCGCTCTGGTTTTACAAGTAGACTGCTTAATGTTCAAAACGATTGAGACATGATACGATATTTTAATTAAGACGATATTACTTTGCATTATCTAATACAGTGATTTCCATTTAGTTTTTGCTGCGTACCACTTCAAAAAGGACGTCAAACCTTGCGTACCCCTTATTGTAGCAATCACACTAATATTATAAATGTGAAAGTTTGTGAGTGTGTATATGTTTCTTTTACTGATAGCCGGCACGTACCCCTTGGTGCAACTTCATGTACCCCTGGAGGTACGCGTACCACTAATTGAAAAACACTGATCTAATACATATATGTGCTAACATGTCATAGTTAGGCAGGCACCCCAAAGAGAGATAGAGGCGTGACATAATATGTAAATCTATGCTAAGCTAAAGAAAGCGCCAGAGCTTAGTTTACCAATATGCTAAATATTGTTGTCTCCCGTTTACACCAATCTTCATCCATCACTAGGCAGCGTAACATTTAAAATGTTTCATTATTTAACTTTTGACAAAGGCATAACAAAATCCAAGTATATATAAATATCCTATATATATAAATACCTTACTAACATATATACGAAATAATAAAAAAATATTATAAATTGGCTCCTATCTGCCACGGTTTTATATAAAATATAATACAAATAATTATTCTTTATTAATACAAACCTCGAGTGAAGTTCCTGGTAGGTCCTTGATGTACAGACATGTTAAAATGTTTAAATAATATTTAAATACTTACCCAGACAGAAAATAAGTCAAATTACTACGAGCATTAGGACACTGAATCTATTCAACTGTATCAGTTAATAAGTGATTTTAGACTTAGTACAATACACCTGAGGAAACAGATTAACATGTTGACTACCACAGCAATTTAAGAAATCTGCCCTAAAATGACAATTTCATTTTTCACATTATATTTTAAAAAAATCTAAATCAATTGCAATTTTTTGTAGATTGGTTGTGACTAAACTAGGACTAAGTGGGTCTTATGCTCAACTCTGCTAGACAAATCCTGACGTATAAAAATTTTGATGAAATGGTACTACATATTTTGAGTATGTACATATTTACCCACTAAATATGATTGGTTAACATAAACAAAGGTAAGAATGCTCTTAATAAAACTCTGATTATCTATGATATTTTATTGTAGAAAATAAAATGTGGATTATATAAAATTTATGATATCAAATTATATGTATACAATTTAAAAATCTATATATGTCGTATGGTATTTATTATACATTTAAATATCACAGACTAAATATTCTCAAAAATAAATATAATTTTATTATATCACTGCATAAAATACTGAAATTTATTTAATGTTATGTTACTATCTCTTAACAGAAATAATCAGGTTATAGTTAGGTACAGATACAGGTAATTCATGCTAAATAATTATAACTTATTTAGAAAATTTGAATATTTTTTGTAAAGTACCAAATTGGCACAAATAATAAAAAAAATAATGTAACAATTTGTTCTCGCGAAGAATTAGACACATCTATCCAAAAATACTGTAGTTATTATTTGAAACAATCAATAGGAACTAGTTAAATTTTAAAACATTTTACATTACGTATAATATCCATGTTTAATTTTGAGTATGTTCATAATTGGGTGCTAAGGTGACTAGAATTCTAGAATATACTTTGATTTAGATGTACCTTCACTAGAAGAAAAACTATAGTTTTTGAACTTAGTGTTCAGACAATTATTTTACATGATTGAAATATTTATAGGAACGACTTTTACAATGACCAATATAATTATTTATTGATCGACCCCAAATGTATAATATGTACTTAGACAATAAATAGCTAAAAACATTGAACATATTTTTGTAATTCAGAATAATCTGAGCTATAAAAATCTATACATTATATAACATTAGAAAAAATTTAAGATCATTAATAATTTTAAATATTGGAATGATTTTTTTATTTTTAAATTTTTCAATATGAAATATGATATAATTGAAAACTCTACCGTTAAATATATAGTTATTACTGTTTCTCATGGTTCCTCAAGTGAGTAGCAACCTTAGGCGTGTACAGTACCTATATACATATTTTACAGTCTTATCTATACATATAAAATTGGAGTGTCTGTTTGTAATATTAAAATAACCGTTTTTTACAACATGCATACGAATATAAATACGGTATATACACCAAAATAATTTGTTTAACAATTTTTGTCTGTCTGTCTGTTTGTTCCGGCTAATCTCTGAAATAGCTGATGTAATAAGGAGTAACTTACGCTATTTTTATTTTAGAAAATTAAAGTTATATTCCACTCGGACGAAGTCGCGGGAGCAGCTAGTATGTAATATATAAAATCTCATTAGTGAGCTTATAAAGCTTTAGTTTTTGTGTTAATCTGTTACAAATAGCCATCTATTCTTACAAACTTCCGCATTTTTATTAATAGGGTTCAATAGTAACTGTTTGTTATGCTTTTACCAATAAACCAATTGGATAAGACTACAACAATAATAATACGTAATGATTGCCACTAAAATAGAACTTCAAGGAAAGTGAAATAAGAGATAGAAGTTTTTATATAGAGAGTCCTTGTTTTTATATTTACTTAAGAAACTCATTGTAATTATTCTTATGGTGAGAAATTAATAGGCACAGTTTAGTAAAAATGAAGAATTTCAATAGGTGAACATCAATCTGATTACTTTACTACAGCTTTAATAAAAGAAAATGCCATCTGTGTACACTACAAAATAAAATGACCCTTGTGCATGTAGAAAAATTACATACGAATAATATTTTTTTGTTTTAAATACAATTTCATAGTGAACCAATTTATAAAAAATATGTGTCAAAACCATTCAGCAGTTATAAATAATAACATTATAATGCGGTTATAAATAAATAATTATTTTTATATGCACTATGTAAATCAACAATTAACACTGTAAAGAGCTTTTAATAGGTTCGAATCCTTGAGAATAATACTGTAAAATTATAATTAGCAGGTAGGTACTGTACGCAGGTAAGTGTTTAAGATATTTTTACTACATAAAAAATAAAACGTTAAACATAAACATAATTGAGCAAGATAATTTCACACTAAGCTATACAATACGTATATGAATCGACACAATCGCCGAAATTCGCAAATCAGCTACTTTTAACAGTCTACGCGTTATTATTAAAACGTCAAAGAACAGAATAGTTTTTGAACTGTTTGGTTTATGTGACGTTTGTTTTGTAAATTTACTGTGTTATTTTCTAATATAAATTCGGTGTATTACCGTACCATAACCAGTAGTTAGAAATAAATTTTATTATTAAATATTCTATATTTTCCGCCAAGCAACTTACGTCTGGATAAGTTATATTAAGGCGAGGTTGTCATGATGATGTCTCTGTACCCAGTTACTTTCACTGCCATATACTTATCCAGACAATGAAGTATAAATAAGTAATAATGCAGATAAAATATTTTTACCATACGCCGAACAAAGAAAATAGATTGCTAATTTATTACAAAATTTAATTTCTAAAATAGCATAAATAACTTGAATATATAATATGGATGAATTATGCGATTGCGTTGGTTCTATTACGGGTTATACAACTAGTGATAAAATCTATTCTTTATTATTTTGACGAGATTTTTTGGGCAATTCTTTGCTGTTATCGCCTGCCGTAAATAAGTCACGAAAATAGTTTCGCTGCTCCTTCACTTGATAATCTTTATCAGTATTTGTAACTAAATTTCTGTTACGTTTCAAATTTTTATCTATACCCTCACTTCTAGGGTTAACAGAGGAGGCCAGTGACTCGAGCGATGTGGCAGTGGAGCCCTCCTGTATTTTGTTGCGTAGCGAGAGATCAAGAAAAGGTCGATTCGTCGACTCGGGGAGAGTGTGAACCGTAGTCGAGCTCTCTGTAGTAGGTAGTACGTCTAATGCGGCCAGCCGCATAAGCTCGCGCTGCGAATCACGTGCCTCCACCAGAAATATGCTCTCCTGTTCACCGCCAGAGTTATAATCATCATCCGTAATTTATTATATTACACCGCGAGGTATCATTAATTATATTATGTATTAAAAACCATTTCATATAAGATAAAATGCGCACGAGCGCGTTATTTGTTATATTCAGATATTATTAAATGGCAAATAATTATCTGAACAAAATTACGAATTAATATTACAAAATGGAGTTGAAAATTGTATCATAGGACTAGATTAAAATTAAGTATTACAGCAACGTCCATTACTTTATAACCTTCTCGAGAAGTAATATAAAGTATAAATTTCCATAAAAAAATTATAAGAATAATGGTACTTAAAAAATATAGATTAGATCAGTATATAATCTGCAATTTTTGCAATTAAATTTATTTTCCTTATAATAATATTATGTTTCTATCTTAATTTTAGAAAATGGTGTTATATAGTCGTATATATACGACTATAACACCATTTTCTAAAACTAAATCGTTTGGTAAAGCATTTAATTTCAACGTCTAATATATTTACCTTAATTTCTTTCGTAGTGTATTGATCAAGTTTATCATATATCACAGCATGTAGCCCCATTTCCTTAAGCCGTTTAATTGTGTTTTTATCATTATTATCATCGCCCCAGCAGAATATAACTAAACCCGCATCAGTAGCTAGTTTCACCTGAAAATGATATAATATATTTTAAATATGTTTTGAAGTAGTAAATATTTTTATGTAACTAAAATGGCAATCAAACTGAAGGTCCACCTAATGATAAGTATAAAACCGCCGCTTTAACATTAATATAACATCGTCCATATGTGAAGCCCATACTTATACATTGCTTAAGAGCAAGCTGCTTCGTAATATACTCAGTAAGCAGACATTTACTTAGAGGCCATTGCTGAGACGGCGTCAATGGTCAGTCTTTTTAACACACCTTACTTCCGATGGTCCTCCTGGTTTCTCGCTCGGTACAAAGATTTGTATTCCTGAATATAATTGATTGTATTGGTCCGAGTCCAATGTCAATTCACAAAATATATATTATAGGTATATTCAAGTAATTCTATCAATTTTTTAAATGGGTGACAATGAAATTATGCTATCGTTTTATGCTAGCGGGACACCAGTGGAAGAAGATAAGAAGAGCGTGATGTCAGGATTGCTGACCATAATTTATTAAACATGATAAATATTTTTTCACAATTACATTATCCTTTGTAAAATATAGTAAACAGCGGAAGTTATAATTTGAATTTGGTAATCACTCGCACCATCGAACGACCTGAAATATAAATTTCAGGCGATGGTTGTTAATAATCAGTGAACGAATATATCCATAATTAGAAGCCAGAGGTTGCAGTCTTGTTCTATATAATGTGTAGTAATGTAAAATTTCTACCAATATATTATTTAACATTTTGGCTATCGGGGAACTACAAATATAATTAGAAGAAAATTGTTTAATTACCTGAGTCGGATCTCGTAAAAGATCTTCTGTGTGTACCACAACACCCAATATATCAGAACTAACCGCATGCTGTACAGCAGCTGGTATAGACAAACATCTGGGATCCCGGTACGCAGGGTATTTATTGGTAATACCCTAAAAAAGAATACTCATTACTTTTTGGTTTAAAATTATGTGCACAGATATCTGTAAACTAATATTATATGCTTGCATGATCTAATGAAATATATTTAAAATACATAAATCGTCATTATACTTACAATAGTTAAAAACATCACTGGATATTTGTTCTGTTTCTGCCGTACCATAGTGCAAATATCTGGATTAAAGCCAGAAAATACAATACGTCGTTCTCCTGCATGTTTCAACACAACTTCTAGAATCTACAGAAAATAATTAAAATTACTTAATGCTAATAGGACCCAGTTACATGGCACAAATGTTAAAACTAAATTTCAAATAACAGTAGATTTCATTTATGCATCACTCTTTAACCTTTGTCGTAATATATGGATTACCCTTAACAGGGTAAGATTTTTTAGTTAGGCTTTTGTCATGGAACTGTGAATGTCAATTAATTTTATTACGATTACACTTATTCCAAACACAAATTATAAAATAATTTAAAAGTTAAAAAATGTGCGTGAAGGCTCCTAAATACGCAAATTATCGTGAGTCTCTTATGTCAAATAATCCTTATATATAATCAGATTTTTTAATGAAAATGTTAAAATGAAAGATATTAGCAAATTGAATCCGGGATGAAGTTACTAATATCAGCAGTTTCAATTTTGAGCATAATAATTTGAAGCTATCTGACCTCCCAGTCAAATAACTTTAGATTAGAAGAAATGAAGTATACATTACCTTATCCACATAAGTGTTCATATCAAATGGATTATTCAACTCAAAAGTACCATCGCCCATTTCCATAGTCCATTTCAGTTCTATATTGAATCCTACATGTAAATCAATATTCCTCAAAACATCTTCCAAGGTAGGAAATGGCTGATGTTCTTCTAGATCTTCATCAAAAAAAAGAATTTCATGGTTACGGCCTTCTACTAAATGATAGACCTATAAATAATGCATTAAAATCTATTAATCAAAATATATCCACACTTTACTTACTAAGGCTATGATGTTAAAAAAATATTTATTCTGGCCAGTTACATGGCAACGTTGACGTACATGCAATAAGAAAACTGCGTTTATCAGTTTCCAAACAGGCTGCATTGAACGCATATCATGGATATGTTTCTTCCAAGCCATCCTATGGATTAATAATATGGGGAAACTCTGTAGATGCTACTAGGGCATTTATCGTGCAAAAGATTTCTTTTGCACGATGTATGTATAAGAGCGGTGTGTGATGCCAGAGAAAGAGAAAGTTGTCGATCTCTTTTTAAAAAATTAAACATCCTTCCATTGCCATGTATGTATATTAAAGACATTTGTATATTTTTAAGGGAACATCCTGACTATTTTAAGAAATTTATAGACACAACACTGTGATTAACGAGACCTAATGATAGACTATACACACCAATGTGTCGATTAGACTTACATAAGAGAAATGTATACTGTATGGCAATCAAAGTGTAAAACAATCTTCCAAGAGAGATTAAAGAACTGTGGTCTCATACGTTATTCAAACGCAAACTAAAGAATTGGCTGCCACTTGGTAATTTTTACAGTGTCCAAGAATATTTAAGTAACACAAACACCTTCACGTAATTTGCATGTCTGTATGGTAAATATTGCTGATCAATCAATTTCATGTAACATCATATTAATTATAATACTGTACCAATATTTCGCAAATAAATTAATTCATTTAATTTAATTTCATTACATATTTCTATGTTTGTTATGTGATTACAAGTGAGTATAAACAGTTGACTACAACCATATGATATGTATCCAATACAAATATGGAGATTACACAATGCAAGGCACAGAAATAGACTGATGTAGACTATAAAATTCTGCATATGTAACTCAGTCATGCCAATTTCCGCCACCATGCAGTTTGTTTTCTAAACTGCAGTGTAATTACAAGTTAAGATGACATCTTAGGCATGTGAAATGGCACCTTCACATGAGTTATATCACAGATATCACATGGTAATGTGATATTTGTAGTACTATTATATTAATAAATATAAGTGATGGGTACTATATACCATCAGGTGGGTATCAAATTGTTTACCGTTTCATTAACATACAAAACAATGCATTCCTCTTAAGATTCATTAATAGCTTATGTAGGGTCGCTATCCCTATAGACCTATGAGGATTTATTGGATTTTATACATATGTATAGTGAAGCAGTAATTATATATAACTTGTATTTTCAGAGTAAAATATATTATGTTCTATTCTTAAAGGACTGGAATTAATTTTTGGTGGTGATGCTGGAATTATGATTTCACTACTAGTGTGTTGTGGGTGGTTACCAGGGACTGAAAAAGAATTAGAATAATCTCATTTGAGCTTTTGTATGGTCATATGAAAGAATAAATATATAAGTACATACAGTTACCACAACAAATAAATTTCAACAACATTATGATTCTGTAACATTGAAAATTAAAAAGTACTCCATGAATATCACAATCACATATCAAACTATACAAGCTGATAATACTATATCAGGATAATCATAATGGATTAAAAAATATAATAAAGCTTCATAATGATACTTTGTTAAAATTTAATTCTTTGCCTTGTGGACTTAATAATTTTTAACCAGTCATATACCTTCAGTTTCTGTAGGTGTTCCAAGGTCAAGTCCTTCACTGGTAATTCTAACATTTCAGTATGTTCTACCTCCTTCTTTCTTTTCATAGAAATACATACATGGTAATCATGATATATTACTGGTATCATATCTTTGCTCAGTTGAACATCAAATTCAAGCAAATCTGCACCACTGGCAGCTGCTTTTTTAAGTGATGCTATTGTATTTTCACGAATAGAATTTCCTCTGAAAATGATTACAATTTATCCCAAGGAAAGTACAAGGCAAAAGCGAAAGCATATATCTAAAAATCTGTCCACAAAGTAATCATAATTAAAATTTCTTTAATATTATTTTTTACTACCATACTAATATACACATTATAATACTTATACAAATTATACTTAATATAAATATACCTAGATATATGCTTAGGTCACTAAATTAAGCACTTACTCTTTTGTTTTGAAGCTGGCTCCAAGACCACGGTGTCCCACCTCTAAGCCGGTCCATGTTGGGTCCCAGTGTTTAGCAAATGATACCTGGAGATCACACAACTTCTCAGGAAGTGGGTGAATAATCAGATAATCAAAATTGACAGTACCCAATGGCCTATGCTTAACATTGCATGTCACAGGTAATTCTAGTGTCCCTTCAGACAATTTAAACATATTTGGTAGGATGTAAGTGTATCCTATATGACAAGGCGGGTCTTCAGTAGATGCCCGACTACTATATGAATAGAAATCTACCAGATATGCAAGACCCAAATGATTAGGAGTTGTAACATTAACAAGTAATATGTCATTAGGCCTGTATTCTCTTCCAAACTGCTCTTGGACCTTCAGACGGCACACTGAGGTATCATTACCTAATGTAGACACTTCAACAAACACACCAGCTGGTACTTCAACATCCATTGTATCTGTGCTCAGTGATGAGTCATCCAAATGTGATTCCATTCCAAAAGACAACTTTACTGGAGTGACTTTAATATTCATTAATCTTGTATTTAACCGACTCTTCAACTTCAATGGGTTGTTAGCAAATTTAAATTGAACCAATGTTTGAGTTGTAAGCCAACCTGTACTAATGTTACGTTTATCATCATATTCACCAAATTTATCCTCACCTGGATGCAATGCTGACTCTTTAATGAGACGAGGATGAATGTTTGTTTCCCAATATCGTATATTTACTGTGTTCTCCTCAGTGATCACACATATGACATAGCGATATAACACATCACCAATATTGGGTATTTTTATAGTTTTAGTCCATAAGTCAGATGCTGACAGTTGCTCCAAAGATACCAACTTATTAAAATCCCATTCACCAAGCTCAACAGTGCTTCCTGTTAGAAACACTTTCTCTCCGGGTCTTACATCAGGAGCAGAAACAGAAAAAATCCAATCTCGTAATGTAACTTCACGAACTTTGAAGGATTGTTGCAGAGACATTTTTTTTGAAGGGATTATTTTTTGTTTTTTATGTTCCTCTAGGTAAAACCAGCGTTGCATAACTTGCTTTCATTCACCACCTATAAAGTATTCTTTGTTTACCACCGATCAAGGAATATAATACTCCAAAGAGGTGAAAATGGAACAAATTAAGGACATCGCACTATTTTTGAAGATTTTACAGCGTTTTTGTTTTTGACAGTTTTAATAGTTTTTTTTTCCTTTTGGCAAAGACTTTGATAGAGTCACTAACTCGATTTGTGCTAAATTCGAGTTAATACTATTTGAATTCTTATTAACTCGAGTTGGAGAAAAGGGTAACACCTTTTCAACAGCTCCAACTCGAGTTGTTGTGTTAAGTTATTAAAAGAAAACAAAAAATATTTTTATAGAGTGTCTTTTATTATTTCAGAAAAAACTTTTTATTAAATGTATCATATGTTATACAATATATCTTGTTAATTAAATAAATATTATTCTGATTCGAGTGGTAGGTACTATAATTGAATAAAAGTTCATTGAGACTTATTGCAACAACTGATTGGCAATATATAAACAGAGTCAGCAAAGGTATTAGGTAGTATATTATTATATATTTGTTATTGAAAAAAAAACATAACAAAGCTATTTAAGTATATTTCATTTTGATGTTTAAAAGATTAAAATAATAGGATACTGTAAAATAATATAGTTAGGCTGCTATTATTGTGTGAAGAAATATCCTATTAACTAGTTTTGTTGTTCGAAAAGTGTAATTTATATATATGATGAATGAACTTTTTTATTTCAATCGTACCTATGAAGTATAGCAATGGCACATCTTAAAATTTGATTTGTCCTTTATATATGTCGTACAGCGTAATATACAGGTATCGTATATTTTTTAAAAATTAGTTTGCGTATTTAAAAAAACTGCAATAGCTAGTCATACTATTCACTTTCTATCAGCACATTTAGAGTATAATAATAAAACAACAAAAAACCAATAGAATGAATTCATTACTGGTCATAGTGATCGGGACACTAAAATAAGATTAACAGTAAGTTACTAAAAATTTTACTTTGTTTAAAATAAAGATAACAAAGGTACTACTTATGATATATTTTGTTTCGTATTTTTTTAGGACAGCCATAAGTTGAACTATAGGACGTTTTAAGGTTATCCATTCATTACAAGACACCCTTTATATATCCTTACTTCCTAATATTATAAAAGCGAAAGTAACTTTGTCTGACTCGCTTTGACGTCAAAACTACTGAACTGATTGAAATTTGGTACACAGATAGTCTAGATCCTGAGAAAGGACATAAGCTACTTTTTAACGAGAAATAAGGGTTGGAAGGGGTTACAAGGGGGATAAAAATGATGATGATGAGAATGATGATTTTTGAAGCTAGACTGATTTGAGTGATTTTTGAGACTGTTCATTAAATACTAATAAATATGATATTCAAAGTTTGTAAAGATGTTACCCTTAAATTTAACACAATGGAATTCTACAAATACCAAAAAATATACACAAAGGAAGGAAAAACATTATTTAATAGTTTTAACTAAAAGTAAATGAAGGTAGTACCAACTTTACTCCATCCAACTCGTGCAACCTAAACGAAACGACGAAAAAGGTAAAAACCTTTATATTATATATTTTATTTACCATAGAATTATTCCCGTTAAGTACTTTTTTTTATTTTAAATAACAATGTTTTTTTTAATTATGACTTGATGTTATGCCAAGCGTATATATACATCATAGTAACAAAGGCGAATTTAGGGGAATTGACGGTACTTAACTATAGGTACTAATACATAATATACTGCTATATATACATATATATATACTTGGCGTAGTATAACACATTACGCCAATTAGTCTTAAACTAAGTAGAACATGTACTTTTAATGGATGATTGTGGAATGGTGCATACTTAATTTATAATCTATTAAGTTTTCATTGAATGTACCTAAACTTGCGTCTTTCGACGTGGCTTAGAGGTTTATTACCTATCCCAACTTACGCGAGTTCAAATCTGTTATCTGATTGACATCAAAAAGAACCTAGTTTATCAATTCATATTACAGGTTGATTCCCCAGTGAAGAAAACAACAATAACAAACTTTCGGCTGTTTCTTTGCCACGAAATGAAATGTGGTCATGCCAAGTATGGCGCTTACCACGACGTAGACAATTGCCTGTCTACCCCATTCCGGGATAACAACCTGGTTCAATTATATTTTCAAACAATCCAGGAAACCATTGAATATACATCCAAATGTATTCAAAACGTTCCAGCAGTATAGAAGAATAATATATAATAAAATAATTACATTTAATAATAAAACAAATAATTTATTGAAAATACGACTTTCGAGTTAAAACCGAACAGAAAACCAAGGAGTAAAACAAAACTGAATTCATATTTTTATATTTAACCACTTTTGTTTCTTTTTTACATATATTTTGTACAATATTTACATTTTTATAAATTTATTTACATTTAACAGTCTTTTGAGTATCTAACTCTAAACAATAATTATTAACTTTTAAAGCATAAATCCTTAAAAAATATGATAAACGTACAAAACTGCAAGCATATTTTAAGTTGCCAAATAAACGTCATTAAAACGGACAATTGACACCGGGGTGTAAGAATGTACAGTTGTCGCCTTGGCGACAGGAACCTTTTCTTTGAAAGTATATACAAACAGCTTTTCGTCCTCCTCTGGAGTGGGCCCCACGACCTCTTTGTGGACCTTCCCAATTTCCTGAATTTTTCCCGCGCCAGTGTCCACCCGAAACACGTCCACGCATCGCGCCCCTGAAATTTCCGGGACTCGAAAATCCATCTGGACCGGGAGGACCTTGTGGTCCTGGCATGTTAAAATCGACTGGAAACATATTCTGTTGAATATTAAATTGATCAGGTGGAACAGGAAACATTGGATTAGGGCCACCGAACATTTCAGGTCCCATCATCATATTTTCAGGAGGAATTATCATACCAGGCGGTAGATTTGCAGGCGGCATTACAGGAGGCAGTGACGTTGGCATTGGTGGTAACATATTATGAGGCGGAATCCCATTTGGCCACTCACCTGGTCCCAGGTTGGGTCCTTGAAATCCAGGAACAGGAAATTGTCCATTTGGAAAATTAGCGGGAAATTGGCCCATATTTGTTGGGAACATAGACTGGACGGTTGTGGTCGTTGATGCTGGAGGAACATTACCTTTTGGCTCAGGCCATGGCATGTTACGAAAGTCACTCACATTATCTTGATTACCAGTTACATCTTCTAAAGGAATTATTGTAGGTTCAGAATAGGGGTGAGTTTCAGGTTCTGGTTCAAATGGAGAATCGGGAATCATTGATTTATGGAAATAAAGTGGCTGTAGTGTTCCTTTTTGCCGAATGGCTTGAATATCTTTCTCCTTGCTATTTTTGCCATATTCTACTTGAATTTGTCCCTCAGTATCAATAGGGATTAGTGGCCTCCAAATAGTTTTTTCTTCCATTACATCATCATTACTAAGATTTCTGCCTTTTTGGAAAGCTTCTCTTTCGTGAATTCTTTCCAAGTATTTCATGTCTGTGAAAGGTTTGGTTACATTAACTCTTTCTGTTTCATCGAGTTCAAAATATTGAATTTCCTCCAATTCAGAATCGGGTTTCCATTTAATGCTTTTCTTAGGGCCTTTTCTTTTATGATAGCATAAAACACCCTTTAACCCATTAATTATCATAGTATGAGGTTCTGAAGTATCCATTTCTTCGTCTTCCTTTTCATTTTTCGTCACGATATCGTCACTTTCATTATTTTCATTATGATCAGATTTTTCTTTAGTTTCTTCCGTATCTAAAGTATCTTGATAAAACCGAGGCGGTACAGATTTACCATCACTATTCGGACTGGTTATCGACGTGGGAGTATGAGGCGGAGATCCATCACTAGCAGCATTTCCGTCTTTGGATCCACTTGTGCGTCTTTTCCTTTTTTTGGGTTCCTTTTTGTTTGTTGCTGAAGCATTTAGTGCATCCATGAACATGTCACTTTCTAGTAACATCATTGCTGTAACAAACAAATGAAATAATATAATACAAATTTGTTACATACAAATAATAAGTACCTACATAATTAAATAATTATAGACTGAAAAAATATAGGTACCAATGAAATCTAAAGTGCATAACATAACGGTTATATGAAATTGCTAAGTAATACTAATTGGTATAAAATTATATCTCTAGCTGTAAGACCGAATAAAATAACGTCCCTTAGTAGTGATAATTCTAACGGCTTTCGCTTCACTATTTATATTTAAAAAGTTTAAGTAAATTACAAATTATTATGCATCATCTTGCATGCCTGTCTAACGTTTTAATCAAGAATATGATGGAAAGTCGGAATAAATATACTGATATAAAATAAAATTACCTAAAATTTACAAGTCGGACTCAAACTTAGGGTGGTTGAAAATATAATATAGTAAGTAATGTACATACTTGTAAGAATCTTGTTAATTAAAAAGTTAACTTATTATATTTATTCACCTCAAATTCATCAATTAAGAAGAAAGATATATTCGTAAGAACTTAGTTTACAACGTAATTCTAATAAGTAGTGGAAGTTGCATCTGTGTTCCTATCTCCGTTAAGTTGTTTTCAAATATACCTAAACGGAAGATTTAGTAGGCACATACTATTAGAAAACTTATATATATTTTATTTAAATTGAAGTTAAACATTTACCATATAAATAAACATTGGCTACGTGAATTAGATGAAGCTATTTCTCTATTTTTAGTGAGACGCGGCAAAGTTCAACAGTGCATATGAATATGAAAAAGATTAGTTAAGAAGTCCGATATTTTTACAGAAAACTTATTTCTCTATGCTGTGTATCTACTGAGTTTGACATGTTCTCGTGTATAGGTAGAAATAGGTACCTACCTAGTATTATCAAACTATATGCATATTAGGAATTCCATACCTTACTTTTTATAACTAATTATAGTTTTTTTTTTAAATAACTGTCTCACCATTACGACCTCTTATAAAGGCAAAAATATATTAAGATAATAAATTTGTATGAAAAACTGTTCAATTCGGGAGTAGTTCGACCGCGCGCGCTCACTCATTCGGGATTTGACTAGGGCAAGAGGCTGCCCGTGGCTGTACCAAAGTTACCTTAAATGAGTAAAATACTTATCTTTTTCTGTTCTGATAAATGTACAATTAAGAATTTTATTTTCTATTTATCATAAAATATTTTTTATTTAATAAGCGGTGGAAAAAAATGACGTATATAAAATTTTCTTGTCAAGATTTTAATAAACAATTATCAAATAGCGTTCACTTTACATTATAGCATTACATATCCAACGTGATAAAAAATGTCGTAACTCCTCTATAATTATAATGATAATTTCAACAGAAACTATTGACTAAGCATATATCGTTGTGATAAACTTGAATCAATGTGTTGAACTTTGCAATTATTGGCTAAGACAACAAATAAAATATGAGTAAGAGTACATCATATTAAAGTAAATATTGTATCTAAACTGGTTATTTTCTTTACACAGTAATTTATTTAAGTACAAGCTAGTCATACAGGAAAAGGGTATATTTCGTTCGTATCTCACGCCAGTAGTAGAGTACTCATGAAACTGAGTAACGTTAAATAAAGTGTAATTCTAAAAATATAGTTTTTTAACTTAACTCATTATGTGAATGGATTGTTTGTATGAAGATATTAAAAAATATTTTCAATTTTCGTTTTTAAGGAAATTTGTGTCATGAATGCTATCACTTGGCTGTTGACTTTGTATATATTCTTTACGACCTACCTTGTGTATTTAGAATTAATAGAAATATTTTTCTTAGAATAGATCCAATATGATTGCCCATAATTGCCTACACATACATCAGACGGAAAGGACCCGTATATTTCTCAAAAAGTTAGCCAGAAAAACAACGTTTCATTAACATTAACAAAATAAATCCTGTAATAATAATAAATTATAAGTGTAAGTATATACATATTCACACTATATTTGTACATTTAGGTAGTATAGTGTAATTAAAACACATTTTGCACTTTTCCATACGATCACGGTGGTGGTGTAGTTGCTTAGTACACTACTTCACGTTCCGAAGGTCGTGGGTTCGATCCTAACATAATCTAAAATTGCATTATAAGGGTATGGATGTTTGTATATAATGTAGATGTAAAAAATAATGTACCGAATACTTCTATTCTTCATAGAACTTGTACTGTCGTTTCAGATTAGATGACCTGTGTGAATATATATTGAGATTATTGTTATTTCTGGAAAATTACTACAAAAAATATACATTAACCTGTACCAAATTATATCCAACTTAGCTACTATGTAGATATATACTATGAACGTAACGTATATAATGTGACGTATTTTTTTTCTTACAATAAAATTAAAAAGCAATATCCGCTATTGATATGTTGTTTAAATATCACTAACTGTTAGGTACTAACTGTGACTAAGTAAGAAACATATATACGTTTCTATTTACCTCGGTAAAATCATTAATTTACACAAAAATTACTACAAAAAATATACATTAACCTGTACCAAATTATATCCAACTTAGCTACTAGGTAGATGTATACTATGAACGCAACGTATATAATGTGACGTATTTTTTTCTCACAATAAAATTAAGAAGCAATATCCGCTATTGATATGTTGTTTCAAATATCACTAAATGTTAGGTACTGACTGTGACTAAGTAAGAAACATATATACGTTTCTATTTACCTCGGTAAAATCATTAATTTATACAATTTTACTTGAAACCTTTCTCTTTCTATTTCCGGTAAGTAGTATACAAATAGATGCCTACTATACTACTGCGTATAAGTATGTACTTATATATCAAATTTAAAATATCATCTGCGTGAAGGGGAAGGATTCTAGTCCGAAAAATTATGCGTATTGAAATAATTTCATAAATCTATATATAAATTATTTTTCATTGTGAACAATTTTCTATTACCCAGTTCCACGACAACGACATACTTGTGCTTAACATTGTAGTCACAATAAATATTTTTATAGTAAGTATTTTAATAAAATTCTACTACACTACACTTCCGATTACTAATTAGCCATAGGTATCTACTGGATACCTACAGTCATGATAATTAATATAATTAATTTGAACAAATACAACCACAGAAACTAATAACAATGAATTTTTTTACGTCCGTCTGTTATGTATATATATTATTTTTAGTTTTTATTTATTTTTCCTTAGACAATTAACACAGCGCCATCCAGTCCCACGGTAAGCATAGCTTGTGTTATGGGTACTAGGCAACTGATATAAATACTTAGATATACATTTTTTTTGTAAATGCATACATATAGAAATCACCAAGACCGATACAATACAAATGTGATTGTATCGGTCCGGTTGGTGGTGAAGATGCACCATGCGAGGAATCGAACCCGCGACCATCGGAAGTAAATCGGTCGGTGTGTTTAACCACTAGACCATTGAGGCCGTCGTATTTATAGCTATGACGCAATTTCTTTGTGGCTTCTCAAGCCGATTTCGATAAAAATGTCCGTAATCATAACTTGAAATTTAGGAAAGATATAAAATACTTCCATCAGTGAAAGCGCTGTTTAATAACATAGTACGTATTTTATGACTAGATATTTGTTTTTGTTTTGACGTCAACTAGTTGCGTAAGTACGGAACTCACGATATTTATATTTACGGAACGAGTTATTAAAGGAGAAACATTAAGACGCGGTGCTATGATTAACATCAATTGTGTAATTCATTAATTAAAATAAAACGAAAACATACTTGGTGGTTCACTACGAATCATTTAAAATTAACAATGATAATTCAAACTATTTTATTTACCCGGCATAGACAGTTTATACGATCCGACCTTACTTTGTCAATTAAGTAACTTAAAAACCTGATTAAATTTAAATTTCGGAATGCAATGTACATTTCGGTGTAATTGCTTTTTTTTATTTTATGTGACCCTTTGTATTAGCCGCAGGTTGGAGCTAAGTATTACTATTTAGCTATAGCCTACCTACTACGAAACAATAGCGAAAAGTTACAAAAAATGTGAATATCATAGAATGATACTCGGTTCTAGGTAGCTACTTACCTACGCACTACAAAGGGCTTTCATTAACGCCCATGGGATCTAAAGATGCCACGTGCGAGATAAAGCAGATCACGGTAATCAACTAGTAACCTTGCGGTATTATAAACATTTTAAGTAGGTACATATTTAAGTCATATGAAAGAAACAAAAGGTTCACATCAGTTGCGACATTCAATCGCAATGAAAGTACCAATTTCTACCTATGTAATTATTAGAACAGAGTTCCGACACGCGTTATTTAGACGTCGCAGTCACGATTAATTTGCTATCTCAGTTAATATAAGAATGAGTTAAAAAGATTCACTAGTAGTAAAAGATACAAGGTGTTAAGTCCGCCATGTTTTTTTTTACCTTTATATTACGTGCACAGAAGTTATATATATATATATATATATATAAATAAATCTAAATTATTTGTTATACTTTCGTCCCTTTAAACTAATTATTATAAAAAAATTAAAAAGTATAGAAGGTTAGTCTATGTGTTATTTCAATCAATTACTAACGTTAATCTATTTTTTATGACGAATCAATTACAGTGACCAAATGCAATTTAACTTGCAACAAATAAAGAGCCAATTTCGACACTAATAATTATAAATTTACATCATGGAATGGTGTTTATTTTTTACTACCTTTTTCACCAAAATATAAATTTCAGTAAGTGCCTATAAAATACATTTAATAATTAACTTTGCTTTTAGTACCAACACTTGAAGAATTTATATGTGATAACAGGACTATCTATAGCGATAGTTTTCCGCTAATTTGTGTCGATACACATCGCAATGGAAACTTATAAATGAAATCCTGTAGATTTAGGTACTACGTTATGGTGCAGTCACTGTATGATTAATCGTTACGAAACTAGACTATTTATCGCAATTGAA